CACTTCTAATTTCTTCTTGCCAACAATTTCAGACTTTTCTTTCTTAATTGATCCTTTGTCTGTGTCTGTGTCTGTTTCTGCTTTGTGCAGTGTAGTTTTACAAGAAAGCTTCTTCTTTTGTGGGTCCAAGTAAGCACTGGACATCATACCCCCGGAAACAAGTTCGAATGGAAGCTTATTAGAAACAAAATTCTTGCTTTCAAAAGCTTCATTTTCTAATTTTCCATTCACGAGAGTAGTCGTCTCCTTCCCAAGAGAAGCACAAACTTCGTTCTTATAACTGACATGCCTTTCTATATGCCTCACCTCCTTTTTCTTATTCTCAACCAATGTACTGTCGGTCTCATCGGCTAGCTTCGCCAAACCATCTTTTTTATCCTTCGGGAAAAGAACGTATTTGGTTTCTTGAAGCGGTTTTTCTTTTCTTGACAACCCAAGTAGGCTCTCGTGAAGAGGTGATATCAATGCTCCATCAGGCACTGGGAAAGCAGTCATCTCCTGTCCAAAGGAGATAGAGAGAGTGCACGGTAAGCATACAAATGGCTGTTTGAATTGAAAAATTATAGAATCAGTACAACCGTCACCTCAATTATCTTAGTCAGAGACACATCTGGTGGGCATTGAGATATGGGCAGCATCCCTTCATTTACGTCAGAGGTTTTTTCTGATGAAGGTGGAGAGTCATCAAGTCCAAGGCCACTGTATATTGCTGCATTTTTCAATCCAGTACTGTTAGAACCAACTTTAATTCGAAGTTTGAGCGATCTTTTGTACATCGGACAACCTAAGCTGATTGAAGCTTCATCTTTCGAAGGGCAACTATTGGTCACTTTAGTAGCTGGCAAGCATGAATCTACTCTGCCAGAGATACTGCCAGAAGTTTCCCTTGCATTGCGAGGGGGAATAGTATTGCAGACAACAGCTTCTGGCCTCCCAGATGGTGGAACTTTAGGATTCTGAGAAGAGCCCTGCACATACACGGCCATATAGCATAAAGAATTTGGGATTAGTTATATCGTTTATATATAAGAAGTGTTACTCTATTATATTTTTCACATGTAATAGCTAAAATAATTAGAATAGTTTTCATGTACCTTCAAGAGCACATTATCCGGAGATGGTGCTGCCTTGCATTCTCTTTGTTGATTACTCTGGTGAGGCAAAATGGAAGGATGGTGTTCGTATGTAGGCAAAAATGAGCCATAACCACCAAACTTTGACCCTAATGACAATTAGAACCCCATATATTATTATTTTAAAATGCAACGATCATCTCAATCTGTCGTTTTGTGGTCTATGAAAGCAACTCACCTAAGTTTTCAGCTGAAACTCCCCTTTCGAAGTCCTTTTGGAAATGACCAAGAAAACGCTCAATCTTCTCATCCTAAAAATACAAGAAGTGAAGTTTAGTTAATTCGGAGGAGCCAAAAATTATGAGTACTTACAAATAGAAAAGAAAAAAAAAAAACAGCTAAACTTCTTTTTCCGGGTTACTAAACAGGCCGACCATAGAAAGAAAAGTGGCAAGGTTTTTCCAGAATGATAATTTGGATGCTTTTCAAACAAACGAACTCATAATGTTATACATTATTTAGTTCAATTTCATTTCATTTCAACTGATCAACAATGGAAATTGTTTAACAATTCTTTCCAAGCAAACAAACAAGTAATTTTATGCCCTTCTGAGTTCCACCTAATTCAAGTTCAACTGATCAACAATTTAGTTTCATGAGTTCAATTTACTTCCTTCCCCATGATTTCCCCTTAATCAAACTCTATACTAATGGATACAAACTAAAACCAAAAATCAAAAGGTTTTAAACTTTTTAAAGAAAAAATAAACCATCAACTTCCAAATAATTCACTGTGCCAATCAAGAAACAAGTCGCAGTCCGTCAACAAATTCCAACACTTAAGAGAATACCCTTACAATGTAAGAGAGAGTAATATCAGGGTCAACATCACGGCCACTCTCCTTGTAATAGCAAGAAGCTTCGCCATCTTCCATGCCAATGGAATCCTTCATCATCATCATTGGCTCCATAGAGCCCGCCATTAGATGTGAACCAAAAACCCTAGTTCCAACAATCATTGTCCCTAAAATCCAGCATCATTTTAATAAGAAACAAGAACGATAAAACAACAATACTCAGAAACAACTTCTGTCGAACCAAAGTCGGAAACGAAACCTTACTTCGGAGAAGCGGAATCGATATTGGCTTCTCTTGAACAGGACGATCGTCAAAAGGCGATCGCACTGTCGATGCTGTTCGAGTAATCTACAAAAACCCTCCCAAAAAGAGATTAATCGAAACGGAAAAGAAAAGGTTCCGTTGGGCTTCTGAGAGTGCTAGAACTACGGAAAATTCCCAGTTGTGGAAGAAAAAAAATCAATGATCCTAACGAACGAAAATTGGGGTTTGGATTTTGCGGGGGGTTTTAGTAGATTCTCTAGTTACAATTTCGTTTTGAGTTTCGGAAATCTTTCCTCCCACTCGCCGCCTGATGAAAATATTTTCATTTATGACCCAAAATTCCCTACTCCCGGATGCGAGTGGGTTATTGGAGCGTGGAACTATGAATTTTTCCGTTTAAATACTCCCTTGATCGCTGAATATTACTCTATATCCAAATTCATTAAATAATAATAATATTTTTTTTATCTTTTTATTTTTTTTATTTTTAAAAAAATTAATGCCAGCTAATATACCAAATAATAATTTAACTTTTATTTTTTAAATTCAAATTCCTCCGATCAAATTGTTAGGAGATTAAATTAATTCAAAAAAATTTGAAATTACTAGATATTAGTAAATAAGATTTAATAAGATTAATTCTTGGTTGAATTAAATTTTAAATTTTAATTTACTAACTTTTCTATTCACTAGATCAAAAATAAAATTTTATCTAAATTTCTTTGTCGTGTTATTAATTATTTTTAGACTATTCTTAGCTAGCAATAATTAAATTTATAGGTTCAAACATAGTCGAGCACAAATTTACGAAGGCTCAAACCTTTTCGAATGTATATTTTCAAACCTTTTCCTTTCTATTCATTATTTTCCAATCGAGAAGTATGGATTCATGGACCTGTGTGTCTGTATAGATCTTGTTTATGAATTAATGAAAATGTGCAAGCCTGTGTGTCATTTTATTTGTCTCTTCCTTTTACTTATGTCATCCCACTCCTATCATCATCCACTAATTCGAAAATTTCCATAGTATTATTTATATATTAGGCCTTTTTACTTATGTTATTGTCACTCCCCACTAATTCGGAATTTCGACACATTAGTATTATTTATATATTAGGATTAGATATCTCTTTCGAGTCCTTACTTATCTAATTTATTTAAATGAAAATTATATAAAAATATTTATCGATTTTATTATATTCATCCATATATCTAAATAATTATATAATTAGAGGGTAGATAAAGATAATATGGTAGAGATAAAATAGGTGCTCTTTTCAAGCCATCATTCTCTCTTTTTTAATTAAACACCAATATTTCAATCAGAGATTTTCCAAAAAAAGCTCGAAAAGTTGTTAATTTGCTGTTGTAATATAAAAATAACAATTTATTTTATTTATTTATTTATTTATTATTATTATTTTGTAAGAGGGCATGAGTGAATAAATTTAGAGAGAAATTTTCTTTCCCATTGAGAGTAAAATAATTTTGGTATAAGACCAAAAGTTACATTTATATAGACACTGAATAAGATAAATTCAATCTAATTGTTGAAATTTTATAATTTTGAATTCAAATTTTCAATAAGATTTTTTTTAAATATCATATTTAAAAAATAATTGTAAGAGATAAGATTTAAATTATAGTCGAATAGAAAATTAATTTATAAAAATAATAGAATTAAAATTAAAATTTAAAATATATTGTTCAATTTTTTTTAAAACATAACTATCGCTACCCAATCTTAATCTATCGAACTCAATCTAATTTCATAATGATTATAAAAAAAAAAAAAAAAAAAAAAAATNAAAAAAAAAAAAAAAAAAAAAAAATCTTAAAAGGCAATATTTGATAGAGAATATTATATATTTTTATGACTTTATATATGGCATGTTTTCAAAATTTTTTAAGTGTTAAAAATTACTAAAATATACATATTGAGAGTCTGTTATTTGGCTCAATCGGACTTCAATTTGAGCAAGTTTAAACTGACACATTGAGAGTCTGTTTAATCCAATCACAAGTGTGATCAAGTTGTATTAATTTTCACCACAAACTTTCATTTCATAAGCCCGATGCCATTATATTATAAGTCTTTTAAATTATTGTTTGAATATAATATTCTCGAACTACAACGGTTCAAGATTAAATTGAGTTAAAATTTTTAAATAATTAAATTATTAATCTCCATTAAATAAAGTTAGAAGTTGGGTTAGTTATCATTTAATCAATGATTATCTCACACGGTAAATACTACAAGATTTGATGGGGTTTTTAAAAAAATCAACAATTAATCATTAATTCTACAATCGATTCGGTAAAAAAGAAATCGATTTGAAAATATTAAAGCTCTACTGTTTTACCCTATTTTATTAAAAAAAAAAAATGGTATTTTATACCAAGAATATTATTTTAAAAAATATTTATTTTTAAAGGTTGATGCTTTAATTATTGGTACAATGTTAGACTAGATTATATTGAATTTAAAAATATATTTATTATTTTTAATTATTTTATAAATATTTTACAACTACTTTTCAAATAAAAATAATTAGAATATCGAATAGAATTTTCATGCAAAATTGTGATTATTTTTATTCTAAAGTAGTAGAGAGACTTTAATGAAAAATAAATTAAACTTTTGGAAATAAAGAAACAAATTGAAAAGTGAATCTTTTTATAATTTAGACAAATTTTTACAGCAGAACTTGTTACTTTTCACCGTTTCAGGGCTTTTTTATTTTGTGTGTTTTCATTTTTTTAATTGTTATTATTATTTATTGATTATATTAATATTTTCCCCCTCTACATCTCTATCAGAGACCCGTCTCTCTGTTCTAGGGTTCGAAGTTAGATTCCGATCATATCGCTTCTCCATTTCGAGTTTCTCACCCACTCTCTGTATTGTCTTCATCTAAATTTTCCATTTTCTTTTGGTCTTCAAAAATATCTGATTAGTTGTAGGGTTACGAATTTTTTGTTTTCCAGTTCGCATCTGCATGCGATTCGAATTCGAAGGTGTTTGGCTTCCTATTTTGGTGGGTTCTTGCTCTGTTTGTCTAGAGCTAGGGTTTTTTTCTGGGGTGGGGGTACAATTCCGCTCCTCGATGTAGGCAATGGGAGTTAGAACTTCTGATTTTTGATTGCCGAAGTCTTTTGTAGAATAATCTGGTTTCTTCGCTTCATTTTACTCTTGCCTTCCACGATTGACGATTGCTTTTGAGTTGAGACTAGCTTGTTCGTTTCGAGGATGAATAGGTTATGAGATGTCAGATTTGTAGATGTCCATATTGTAGCGTAATTTGCTCGAATTGATTTTACAGTGTATTGTGGTTTAAATTAATGGGGGCGCGATAGAAGTTTCATTGCTTGAAGACTCCATCAATTGAGCGTCGGATGTTTGCTTCCAGTATGGATACTGTGAGGGACACAACTAGAACTGCGGGAACAATGTTAATCCCAATGCGTTTTGTCTGGCCGTATGGCGGAAGAAGTGTATTTCTCAGTGGCTCTTTCACCAGGTGATGTTCAGTTCATTGTCATCTGTACTTCCAATAATTTCTTGCTTGTTTTATTGCTGTGGAACGATTCAAGAAGGGCTATGCATATATGTATTTTGCTGTAGACGATTTTAGTAAATTACAATTGTATCTTTGATGAAGGTGGTCGGAGCTTGTTCCTATGACGCCTATGGAGGGCTGTCCTACTGTTTTTCAGGCTATTTACAGCTTAACCCCTGGATATCACCAGGTCAGATTGCGGTGGTTGCATAAGGCATTTTAAACTGTTCATATATCATTTTTCTAGGGACTCTTCGGATATATGATGAATCTACGCTAACCTTAGCTTTTTGCTGTGCTTAATTTCACTATAATGTTAGATGTCTGTTTAAACATTACAATGTTAGTTTAGTAAGCTTTGAATAATAGTTGTGCCGCTTAGCTGAAGCTGATGTTTCTCAAGGGAAAAAATGACTTCCTGAAATGAATAAATTAAACAGAGTTATTGCTATTTTGACTTCTCTGGTAAGTTGGCAACTCTGTGTAAATGGTCAAGGTCAAAATATGAATATAAGAGCTATAATATACTGCACTGCGCATGTGTTTTTTGAAAATGAATTTTCCAGTTATTGATTCTGTAATCATAGTTATTCTCGCCATGCTAAGTAATATTGTTGATCTTTTTTTATGCGTTCATCTCATTTACCAGCTATTTTAGGTAGTAATGCTATTTTTCTAATTATTTCCAAATTACTACACCATGTACTCCAACAATGAGAAATTGTAATGCTGAGCTATTGAGTTGAGATTACATGATGAACATTTTTATTGAAAATTCTATAATTTGTTGTTTTTTTTTCTTATGTAGTTTGTTATGCTAATGTGCACAGTAAGGTTTCTTGTGGATGCAGTATAAATTTTTTGTTGATGGAGAATGGCGACATGACGAGCAGCAGACTTGTACTCCTGGTGAATATGGGATAGTGAACACTGTTCGCTTGCCTACAGAGCCTAGCTATGCAGCTCCACCTGCCAATCCAGAGATGACCCCTGGATCTAGCATGGATGTGGATACTGAGGCATTCCGACGCCTGGTTAGAATTATTTATACACTGTTGCTCCTTTCATTGTATTTATTCGCTGGGTTAAGTTATTGATGTATAGTTACTTGTAGTTACTGGGATTGCGGTGTAAGATTTATACTCTCACTGCTCCTTGTATCAGATAATTGAAATTCTTTGTTTATCATCTAGGTCCGAATAAATGATGGATGGTTGTCAGAGGCTGTGCATAGTGTATCAGAGGCTGATCTGCAGTGCTCCCGTCACCGAATATCTGCCTTCTTGTCCACACATACTGTTTACGAGTTGCTCCCAGAGTCGGGCAAGGTTTGAAATGTCAATCTTTTAAACTTTTGTATGATACCATATTTGTACTTCATGTTTTTATCCACTCATGTGAGCACAATTATGTCACAGGTTGTTGCTTTAGACATTGACTTACCTGTGAAGCAAGCTTTTCACATATTGCATGAGCAGGCAAGTTCTTTTTCTCCTTTTCTCCCCTCCATTTTGGTGGGTAGAAAACCTTTACAATGATTAATCTCTGTGCTTGAAGGAGAAAATACAATCTTTCTCTTTTTGACTTCCCTTTCTTATGCCCTTTGTACATATGAAATAATTTAGACATTTATTATTTTCTATTTATCACCTATTTAATTTACGTCTTGGTGTTCAAGAGATCTGGATTTATACCTTGTCTTTATTGACTGTTTACAGGGTATCCCAACAGCTCCTCTTTGGGATTTCAGCAAGGGGAAATTTGTTGGAGTTCTCAGTGCATCAGATTTTATTTTAATATTAAAAGAAGTATGTGTAGAAGCATTTCCGACAATCACCCCCCCCCCCCCCCCCCCCCC